GTATATATATATAAATATACATAAATATAGATAAATATATAAATAAAAATAAAAAAAAAAATATATATATATATACATAAATATAGATAAATATATATAAATATATAAATAAAAATAAAAATATATATATATAAATAATATATAAAATAAATATAAATAAAAATTATTTTAAAAAGCAATTTTTTTGTACTCTGGAATAAAGAACTTTGCACATTTCTTTTGTTTTTATGTATGTATGTATAGAGGAAAACTCCCTATTATGAGATAGGCGTCTAATATGAGATAGTGGTGTTTCCGCTAAACTAATAAAGGCTATCTACTGATTTCACCATGAATTTATTAGATTGAAAACTATTTACTTTAGAAAATTCATTATTACATCAGTAAATCCTGTAGTCATTGTAAAAAAAGATTTTAGAATTTAGATGACTTTAAGTTTCATTGAGATGAGTTTTTAAATCTTGTTTATTTAATAAATAAAAATAAATTCTTATGTAATGATAAAGTAAAGTCGTAAATGAATATCGACAACTGAAATGAACATCCCTGTAAGACGCTTTTCTAGGACGCTTTTCTAATTTTGATTCCAACTACCTGAGTTCTGGTCTATTCTATAATGTATCCCAATTTTCACGCATCCCGGTTGTATTGCATTTTAGAAATATAAAATAAAGTTTTTTGCAATGTTGATATATTTTGTTTTACTATCGATTTTTCAGGACATCTCAGGAGCACAATTTTTAAACTTTGAAATTTGCACTTTTTATATTTCTTTAATTTTCAAAAAAAAAAATGGAATTTGATTAAATTAAATTTTATATAACATTATCTTAAAGCTTATTAAATTCCCTTCGAAATGATCTATTATTTTTTTAAATTCTGCCCATAGACTTCCAGCATTTAATCTAAAATGAACTCGGTATCTCGTAATAGAATCTTTTCTCTACATATACATAAGTCTAAACTTTCGCATTTTTTTTCTTTATTAGGTGTTGGAATTAATTCGTAGCGTTTTACAAGTGATGGGAAGTACTTTCATTAATGTATTTTTTAATGCTCATGTGAAATAAATAACATTCTTTCATTAAAAACGCTACGAATTAATTCCAACACCTAATATGTTTTTTTCAGATGTTTATATAATTATAATTATGATTGATTATGGTATTGTATAAAGAATACGGATAAAATTATTGATACATTTTTGTGCAAAAAAATAAAATATTTATGGCGACAGTGCATCAGATCAGGATCTGCTCTTCCTTCTACTGCCCTTTTTTCCGCCAAGTTTTGTCTTCATCTTATACTTTCCTGCTATTAGGTGCGCAACTAAGTTCTCGCTGTTATTTTGATGCAAATGCCATGAAAATAACAGTGAGAATTTAGTTGCGCACCTAATACTATACTTTTTCCCCCTTTTTCCCCGGTTTTTCCAGTGTAGAAGATAAAGGAATTGATTTATCTAAAGTCGAGAATTTTCTGAACAATGAAACATCCTTCTCTTCCATTTCCATGTTATATATAATATATAAATATTTATATAGATAATTAAGATAAAATAATATTGATATAATGTTATTATTTGACATTATAACTATAATTATTAAACTATAAATTACTGTATTTATATCAGAATTACAGAGAACTAGGGAATTTTTGCAATATAACGTAAACGGTATTGCAAAAATTGTCTATTAATAAAATTCCAAGATATCGTATTGTTCAATACAATATCTCGGAATTTTATTAATAGGGATAATAGATTTTGCAATATTGTTTTATATAAATACTATGACGTGACTTTAATGTTCACCGTATCTGGATTCACGTTATATTGCAAAAATTCCCTAATATCTGATATAAATACCGTAATTATTACAGTAATTTTTACCGTCGCTATAAATATTTTATTTTTTGTACAAAACTGTATCAATAATTTTAATTATTCCTATTATTTTAATAAAAATATATATTAGGCTGTTCGAGCCTAACGCTGGCTGTTAATTTGCGAAACGTAATATAATATCAATTAATAAAACAAAAATTGTTAGTTATAGATATAATGTCAAATAATAAAATTATATCAATATTATTTTATTCTAATTACCTATATAAATATTTATATATAACATGGAAATGGAAGAAAATGATGTTTTATTTTTCAAAATTCTTCTGAAAACGCTTCTCGAAACGCTTCTGAATAATCAATCCTTAGATCTTCTACAGAACTGTAAAGGGGAAAAATTGTAGGAAAGTATAAACGAACAATTCTGGCGGGAAAAAAAGGTAGTAGAAGAAAGAGGAGAGGTTTCTATAAAGTAATATCATGATCTCCTGATATACCGATTAGGTATAGTCCTTTATAATAGTTTCGGATGCAGAATTTACGTATAATATAACATAGCGGGCGGGACTGTATCTCGCTGACGCCTACCTGAATCCGATGTTCGCGCGCACAATATCGTAAGGCACCTCCTTCACGAGGTTGAGTGTAGCTCAACCGCGATGTGGTGGGGGATATGGAAGCGTGGAAGGGATCGGAGTTCGGTCCGCAGGGCCGGCGGCCGGCGCCCGTAACTGCCGGCGGTTCAGAACGCGGTAGTACGTGAGAACGCGCGCATTCGCGTCAGTAGTCGTTTGTTGTAGTAGTTGGTTCCGCGCGCCGGCTTTGATCCCACGCAAATCCAGCTGATCGCGCGTGTTTCGCGAGCCGTTCGCTCGCCCCCTCGACGGCGTTAATTAACGCGCGTCATCGATGTAAATCCGCGATCTCTCTCTCTCTCTCTCTCGCAAAAGCAAAACGGTAAGGAAATCGGCCGATAATTATACCGCGCATCAAAAATCTTTCGTCGCGCGTGTGTCACGTCCGACACTTCCATCCCCGCTCCCCTCCTCCCTCCATCTTTCCGATACTCTCCATCGAGCCTGTTGATTTGCCCGTACTATTCTCATTTTGACCGATCACATCGATTTCCCTCTCTCCTTCGTTTCCCTCGCTTCTTTTCGTCTTGTCCTTCCGTTTCCTTTCGGATTCCATTACTTTGTATTCGAACATCGTCGAAGGTAGTATCATCTCCCAAATTGTTATCTGCTACATATTACATTACATCCCGCACATATATTATCCTCTTTTTCCGCTTTTTTCCTTACGCATCAATTGTGTTGTGCGTGCGCTTGGAACGGAGCGTGCTCCTTCGAGCGGGTGAAGAAGAAGAAGAAAAAACGACGCGGAAGAAGAAGCGAGAGGAAGACAAAGAGTGCGACGGAAACTTTTTGTGCAGAGACATGACCGTTGATCTCGTTCGGCGTGATCGTTTGCTCGTAGTCTCGTTATTTTGACAAAATAACAAAATCCTCCCTCGCGCGAGCATATCCGGACGAGTGAGTTTATCCGACGGGACTTTTTAGTGTCGCGCGCGACACTATACCTACTATTGTACTTGAAAACGCACGCATACATACGCATCACGGTGCCGGGTGTCTTCCGCCTCCCGCGCCGTGATTCCACGTATCTTTTGATACGCGTACGCTAGTTTCGTGAATCACCGCGTCATATAAAAACAGCCAAAATTCGGGTAAAAGGTGATCCGAAACCATCCTACGCGATGGACACTGCCGACGACCAAGAAATAGAGAATCCTGGTGGAGGTTCCTTGATCAACGGCGCCAACGGAACCAATGGCACAAATGGAGCCAATGGTCAACACCAGACGCCGGAGGGTTCTTTGGTGAGTTTTCTTTCAACTTGTAATGGCGCCATATCGGAATTCCTTTACGCATCTCTGCTCTATATTAGTCGAGTTCGCTGGGGATAAATGTCGATGCTAAATTCATATGTGTAAACAGCGAAACATATAAAATGTTCGATACGTAACGACGCGTCTCATCATTGTTAATAGTATTGAAAAAAAAAAACGCGTGCGTATTAGGTCGTTGTAGAGGTTAACTCAATCGCTATGTTCTTTGATTACAATCCCGTCAATTTAACGTTCTTTTTCGAATAATATTTCTGTTTATCATTGCGAAAGAAACGCGCGATATTATATCTATCTTATTCGGATTGTTCGATTTAGGATTATGGCAGAATTCGCATTGAGATATCGAAAGATACGTCGAAATCTACGATGCAAAGTGTTTATTTTTAGAGAAATCCATGGTGATCGAAAGTCCATCGTATGGTATACGATTCGGAATAGTCTGCATTTTTCCCATATAAGCTATATATATATATATATATGATATCAATATCTGAGACTTCTCGATGATTAAAAAAAAATTTCGGTATCTGATGGTTAGGCGATTAACGAATCGACCAGTCAGAAAACTGAAAAATAACCGAGAAAAATTGATTTAGGCAATTTCTTCTATAAATTTTTACTTAGTTTTCATTTATCATTTATTCCGTTCTTTCATTTCCGCCGAAATGTCTTAATAAGAAGGCTATAATGTTTCATCTTTATGGATATTTGAGCAGGAATTTGAACACAGTCTACAGGGAATCGATTTATTAACACAAATACTTATTAATGAAAAATGAATTTCTTTTTGAATGACTTTAGATCTATGAGTACAAATTGTTCGCCTTTTTTTGAATGTTGCTTTTGTTCAGTAGGAACGCAGTATGAACTATGTCATATCGACTATGTCGAATTGTATACAATACAATGGATTTTCGACTATCACGGATTTATATTTTTTTGAAAATAAGGATGCTTTTTCATGATGTACCTTCTCGAAAATTCTTTCGACGTAAGATATGCAGGTCTATAGATGTTTAAGTAAATATCTCGTAATTAATTGAAATTCTAAGAAAGTTTAATAAGAGAAATTTGTACGGAAATTTGTAGCTCCAAATCAGCTACAAAATGTATAATATATAAAACTTTTTTTGCGCTCGTGATCTTTTCGAGTTATGACATAAACAATTATCATTTTTTTAAATATTTATAGATATAATAGCAGTTTACATATTTATAGATATTCACAGATATAATAGCAGTGTTATTTGCATTCAAAATTTTATCTAATTCAAAATTGCTACTCTAACATTTTAAACTATATTCAAAATACTTACAATTCAATTTATTACTTTAATACTTAAGATACTTATTATCTCGTAAATGAGAGAGAGAGAGAGAGAGAGAGAGAGAGAAGAAGAAGAAGAAGAAAGAGATGCATAGTAACAATTTTTAATTACACTAAAAAAATATTTGATTGAAAATTTTATGATTATATCTACTACAATTCTAGTTGAGATAATCGGATATTTTTCGGATTGATTTAATCAGAAATGATTTTAAATAAAACATTTTTCTCATTGTATATATAATTTTGATTACGAATGATCCCTACTATATAAATATGCAAAAAGAATTATAGCTATTTCAAAAATCTATGTCAACTTTTATAACTCAAAAAGGCCATGAAAAAAAAATTGCATCCACTTTGTAGCTGACTCAGAGCCGTGCAAATTCCTTTTACTATAAACTTTTTTATAACTCACTTGCAAAATATTTGCATCTATGAATAGACATCCTGTATGTATGTACGTATATATATATAATATTAGAATTTTAGAAGAATTATTGTAATTTTATGAATACAAAATAGAAAAGCAAGTATTAGAAAAATATAAAGAAATTTCTTATATATAAAAATATAATTGTAATTATTGCATAAGAAATTTTATACCTTTTGGATCAATACGTATGAAAATATATACGAATGTAATAAATCATAACAGGAAACCTTTCTTACACTATAAGATAGGAAACTTTCTTACACTGTTAGAAATTTTGTTATGAATCTAAGTAACATTGTAAAAGAAACTTTTGAGATAACTGAAAAATAATGAATGGTTTAAAATTAAGTTACAGTAGTCTAAATATAATGAATATGTGTATTACATTTTATGCAAATCCACATAAAATTTTATGGAAAGTACATTCATAAAAATTTATGAATAATATTTTAAATTTTATGTAAATATACAAAAATATATTTTTAGTTACTAAATACATTAAATTTAATGTAATGTAATTAAATTTATATACATATAATATAATGTTATGAAATTCAACTTGTGTAAAGTTTTAATAATATTAAATTTCATGATAGTTTTGACAGTGTATTTATAATTTTGCATCTATGAAGATTCATCTATGAAGATATGATATGATATTCTATATATAGAATCATGGAATTAAATCTTAATCACTATCAATATAAATATATAAGATTTTCAATAAATTCAATTTAATATTCGCGATTGTAATTGTGTCGATAGAAAAGGCTTGTTCGTGCGCCGCGCTGGTAATATTAGTTTACAAACAACGCCAATCTTGCGGCTCGCTCACTCAGCGAATGTTTTTCTTCACATCAAATATGTATTTTATGCCCTCGATTATTTCTGTCCTCGTGAAATTCACGTTTCCGTGTATTTATAAAAAGCATTTGTCGAAATCTTAGAGGAGAAAAAAATTGCAGAAAGAAACGCGTTTACCCGCAGATCTTTTTAACTGTTATTTGTAGATATGTAAATTCTGTTTTGTTAGTAACTTTTTACCAAACATTTATACAATTTATTACTAGTTTATGCAATTTGTGTGTGTGTTACACACATTATATATATATGTGTGTGTGTATATATACATGTATGTATTTTATATATATATATATATA